AGATGATTTTTAGGGATGATGTGGCTACACGTGAGGTAAAATCCACTTCCCCAGCCTGAAGCTCCCGCCTCAGAGGGATGGAAAAATGGAATTTTGGGACTCTGGTTTGCAAACAGTAAAGGAGAAGAGGCTGGATCTGAACTCGAATAAATGTACCCAGCAAAATTCTTTCTATTAATAAAATATATAGAATTAATTAATTCACACTCCTTATCCTGCCCAAACCCCCGAACACAGGATTTTCCCTCTGAATTCCCACTTCTTTGTGGGAATGAGAGGAAAAAAGCTCCGATGGGTAGTTCTGAGTCCCAAAATGTCCAAGGGGAAGCGCAGGGATGTTAAAATTCCCCCCAGATCTGGCTGGAAATCCAGGTGGGTTCCTGGCTGTGCTCTTGAGGGTCCCAATCCCTGCCAAATTTGGGAATTAAGGGTTGGAAAAGCCCTTTAGGATCCTTAAATCCAGCCATGAACCACATGCATGCCATTGTTTCCCAGGGCAGCTACAATTAAATTCTCCTTGCCTAAGCCCCTTTCCCTGGATTGTTCTGGGTTTGCCCAGAAAAAGGAAAAAACAGGGAAAAAATTTCTTCCTATTTCCATTTAACCTGGATCCCCTCGTTCACAACCAGGGCAGGATCCTCCACTGCAGGGTCATCCCAAAAATCCTTTCAGGATCATTTCATCCCAATTTCCATCCCGAATTTTATCTTTTCCTCATCTTCCCTTTCCTGCTCTGCAAAGCCAGAGAGGGGAATGAGCAAAGCTGTGGAAAAATGTTGGATTTAAAGCGTTAAAAGAAGGACAGGGAAGGGGAAAAGAAAAAAAGGGAATTGCTGGGTTTTAAATCAGCCTCAGCGTTGCTGCTGCAGTTGTTTACGAGCAGCTGTTCCAGCCCATTGCACGGACAAAATCCAAGGGAAATGAGATGTTTGATGTCTGCAAAGGCATGGACGAGCCATGGAAAAGTTCCCGTGGAAAGGGAAGTGGTGGGATAAACAGTCCCTGATTGCGGGGAAGGGGCTGGGGGAAATCAGGGGATCACCCCGTGCTGGGCCAGGAAGGAAATCGGGGATTGTTCAGGGATTGGGGACGTTTCCCTGGAATTTTAATCCCATTTGTCAGGACAATTCAAGGAATGGGGAATACTCGGAGCTGGGAGGAGCCGTGGGATCATGAAATCCCATCCCAGCCCTGTAGACATCCCGAAATCTCACCTGGGACACCCCAAAATCCCACCTGGGAGCATTGTCCAAAACAGGGAAGAGGTTTTGTGTCCTCCATGAGGGAAATCAGGGATCATTCAAGGAATGGGGACACTGGGACACCCAGAATTATGGAATTAGGGAACTAGGGAATAGCCTGAGCTTGGAATTAGTCCTTCTCCAAGTTTTCTACTCCAGGTTTATTTTCTTTTTATCCAGATGATGCCTGAGGTCCCATCTGGAGCCACTGCCAGGATCAGGGGATGCTGATTCCACTCAGGAATTCCTTTTCCAGCCTCCTGCCCCCGGCTCTGTTTATTCCCTGCTTCTTTCCCAGCAAGAATTGCAGTTTTTTTAATTCCCTCTTGGAATTAAAAAAGTCATTTCCCCCCTAATTCCTCCTTTTGCCCCCAGTCCTTCCCCTGAGGCGCCCCCAAGGAAAGCCAGGCCAGGCCAATGCCGGCATCCCACACCTTGGAATATTTATGGATTTCCTTGGAGCCAGAACTCTTTGGGAGCCTGCAGCTCAGGTTTTAGGATTTATTTCGGTGTCTCCAGCCCTGCTGTCTGAGCCTGAAAATAGCAACCCAGGCTGATCTTATCAGCAGCTCTTGGAGACTCCAATTATCTCCTCCGCGGCTCCGCAGAAATCGGACCCCGGTTATTGTTTTCTTATCCTGCTCCCTGTCCTCAGAATCCTCCCGGCCGCGGCCGTGGAGCTCTCCAGGAGCCACGCTGGAATTTTATAGAGTGGGAGATAAGCAGAATTCCCAAAATCCAGCCAGGCCTGCATCCCAAAGCCTTTGGGGTCAGTGCCTCAGGGCAACGGTTTGTTCCCAGTGTTCTGGGGGGGAAACTGAGGCAAAAATTCCATTCTAGCAGCCGTTCCCACTCAATTCCCCTGGAATTACAGATTTATGGCATCAGGCCGTGATTTGGGAAGTTTATCCATGGATCTGGAGTCAGAGATTCCAGGTTTCTGCTCGTCCCTAAATCCAGCCATGCCTTCGTCCCAAAGCCTTTGTTCCCAATGTTCTGAGAAAGAAACTGAGGCAAAAATTCCATTTTAGCAGCTTTTCTCACCCAATTCCCTTGGAATTATGGATCCACAGCACCAGGCCAGGATTAGGTTGGATATTTGGGAATACTTCCTCCCTGAAAGGGTGCCCAGCCACTGGAATGGGCTGCCCAGTGGAGTCCCCATCCCCGGAAGTGTCCCAAAAACCTGAGGATCACAATCCCAAAAACCTGTGGATCACCATCCCAAAAACCTGAGGATCACCATCCCAAAACCCATGGATCACCATCCCAAAAACCCGTGGATCACCATCCCAAAACCCATGGATCACCATCCCAAAAACCCGTGGATCACCATCCCAAAATCCCGTGGATCACAATCCCAAAACCCATGGATCACCATCCCAAAATCCCGTGGATCACCATCCCAAAAACCTGAGGATCACCATCCCAAAAACCTGAGGATCACCATCCCAAAAACCCATGGATCACCATCCCAAAATCCTGTGGATCACAATCCCAAAAACCTGAGGATCACCATCCCAAAAACCCCTGGATCACAATCCCAAAACCCATGGATCACCATCCCAAAATCCTGTGGATCACCATCCCAAAATCCTGTGGATCACCATCCCAAAATCCTGTGGATCACCATCCCAAAACCCATGGATCACCATCCCAAAATCCCGTGGATCACCATCCCAAAATCCTGTGGATCACAATCCCAAAACCCCCTGGACTGACCGCAACTTCCATCTCCAAGCACCTCAAGCGTCGGGATTTTGGCAGATCCAGAAACCTGGCTCGAGTCCTTCCCTAAAATCAACACCTAAAGTAAATATTTGGAATTGTCGCGGCCGGCAGCAGCTCTGGACAAATGGTTTTTTTCCAGTGGTTTCTGCTGGGATGATTCCAGGCCCTTTGGAACGGCCCCAGCTCCATCGCTCAGCGTCAGCGGCGCTTTCCTCGCGTTCGGAATCTGGGAATCTTATTCCTTTTCCGGCCTCTTGCTCCTCGCGGAGCCGGCGCTCGGTGGGAGCCGCTCGGCTCGGCCGGAGCTGGGGAGCGGAAACAGGGCCCACGTTCCCGGGATTTCGGCTGTCAGGGGAAGCAGGGAATGCTGGGGACCTCCGGGAAGTGGGAATTGGGCTTTTCCATGAGGAGAAGTTCCTGCCCACCTTCCTGGGCATCCCTTGGCACCCCCAGAGCTCTGTGGATTTCCGGGATCGTGGATTTCTGAGTTCTCCTAAAAAACTTGGATGGGTAGCTAGATTTTTCCTCAATTTTTCCATGTTTGTCATGATCAGAGGTTCTTCAGCCTCATTCCCAACTTTTCGGGGACATCTTGGTGGTGGCCTTGGCATCTCCAGAGCTTTTTGGATTTGTGGAATTGTGGATTTCTGGGTTTTCCTCAAAATTTGGATCGGAGCCCAGATTTTTCTTCCGTTTTCTGAGATTAGAGGTTCTTCAGCCTCATTCCCACCGTCCTGGGCATTCCTTGGCACCCCCAGAGCCCTTTGGATTTGTGGGATCTTGGATTTCTGAGTTTTCCTCCAAATTTGGAGCAGTATCCTGATTTTTCCACATTTTCCCAAGTTTTTCCACATTTTCCATAAGGAAATGTTCCTCAAATATAACAAAATTCCAATTTTCCCCTCAGTTCCAGCACCTCATCCAGGTGAATCTTCCCATTGAAACGAGGAATCATTTCCCAATCCCAGAAAAAAATCCCCTGGGAAGCTCCTGGAGTGTGAGGAATTTTTAATAAGCAGTTTTAATTCCTACAGAGTTTTTAATCACCCCAAAAATTGGAGCAGGATCAGGAATTGAAATCCTTTGGGAATTCCTTTGGAAAATGAAAATTCTCAGCTCAAATCCATGGAATTTTCAGCTGAGGAAACCCCAAAATTTCTTGATTAAAAGGGGACACAGGGATTTTTTGTTCCATATTAAAAAAATCCCAAATTAAAAAAAATAATTAGATTTTAACAATTTTATTCGTTTTTGGGTTGTTCTGCTTAAAAAAAAATCCCGGAATGTTTTTAATTAATTAGATTTTAATAATTTTATTCATTTTACCTCTATTTTAGGGACTTTTTCAAAGGGTTTCCACATCAATTTTCCATGGATTCCACAGAGAAACACGGTGGCTCCATCCTCAGAAATTCCATTTTTTATTTGGAAAACTCCTTTCCTTTTTCCCCCAATTTTTTTTATTTTAAAATCGGCAACCACCACTCGATTTTAGTCAGAAATACCTGGGTTTGGACAGTTAAATTCCCTTTTTTTTTTAAGGAATTAAGACTTCCAAAGGCTTGGAGTGACATCTAGCGACAGGCAGGAAAATCTGGGAATAAATTCCAAAAAAACCAAAAACAATGAAGGGAATAAATTCCCTTTGCTTCAACAGCAAAATCCCAAAGTTATCCCGAATTATTTAGGGGGAAAAATCGGATTATTTTCAGTTTTGAGGGAAGTTTGAGTTCTTTGTTTGAGCATGGAATCTTTGAAATTTGGAGGGAAATCAATTTAAAAAATATTGGAATGCTGGGGATTAAAGATTCCAAGGAAATCAGGGAGGGAAAAAATTCCCTTTAAAATAATTTGGCCTCGTCCTCCGCTGATTTTGCTTCCCAGGTGGAATTTTCCAGGGAAAATAAAGGGGGAAGGTGGATAAAATACTGGGAATTTTGATGTTATTCTGGGAATAAATGGATTTATTTGGTATTTTCCTGGGAAAAAAGCGTAAAGGTGGATAAAACAATGAGGAAATGGATGTAATTCTGGGAATAAATGGATTTATTTGTCATTTTTTCCTGGGGAAATAAAGAGACTACACAAGCAAGAATTAGAAATAAATATAATTATAAATAAATATTCACATTACAGGTAATTGATCACGATACAGACAACATTGGTGAACCTCAGATGGCAAATGCGTGTTTAAAAACCTGGAATTTTGCTGACATCTTGGAAAATTCCTGCTTTGGAAGAGGATATTTCGGGAAAAAACACTCCCTGGTAATCCCTGTGCATGCATTATACTAATAATTATTATAATAATTATAATAATTGAGTTGAACATACTAAAATAATCGAGTTTTTGCAGGGTTTTAGTTTTGTTTCAGGAAAAAAGCCTCGAAAGTTTCAAAATAAAATCTGAACATTTTTGATTTGCAGTAATTAATTAATACAAGAATAACAAAAAAATAAAATTACAACGTAATCCATCCCTTTGGTATTCCTAATTCCTGAAATTCCTAATTTTGCTGAGGAGAAAAAGAGGACTTGGCACTTTCTGAATTTTCAATTTTCCTGGGCTGTTTGTCTCTTCCAGCCCGAGTTGGGAAGGGAATGGGAATGAAAGTGCAGAGTGCAACAAACACCCAAAAAAACCCCAAAACTGCAACAAAAAAACATTTAAAAAATGGAATTTTGTATTTCCGAGGTAAAATCACCTCACGCTGCGAGAGCTGCAGCTGGCACAGGGCACTGGGAAAAATTTGGAGCAGCTGCCACTGGAAAATGTTGGAATTCCAGGTCTGGAGATAAATTTATCTCCAAAATGAAATAAAAAATGAAAGAAAAGAAATAAAAAGAAATAATAGAAATAAAGAAATGTCTGAGTCCTGTGTGAGCTGTGGTTATTTTGGTGAAGGCAGGAATGAGGGAAAAAACCCAAATTCTGGATGTGTCACTGATAATTAATTCAATTTTAAGGCATTTTTGGATTGAAGGAGGGAATTTCCCCAACTTTCAGCACCTAAATGCGATTTTTTAGTGTGCTGAAAAGAGAAATAAAATTCTCCAAATTAAATTTTTGGGGTGGGGGGGACCTTCTTCTCTTGACTACACAAATTTCACTTTTTTACCTTAAATCCTCACCTTTGGGCAAATTATTTTTGAACTCCCACTGATCAATTTTTGCTCATTTGGATTAAAAATAAATCTAAATTTGAAGTCTTGGAGCAGCCAGGGAGTTCTTGAGTGAGTGGTGGAGGGAAATGAGCTGAAAACAACACCTGCCTTTGCAAAAAAAAAATGCTAAAAAAAATTTTAAAAATTTAAAAAGTCTTCTCCTGAAAATAAGAATAAATTGAATTTCTGCCTTTCACAGGGCAAAAAAAAAGAGAAATAAAGAGATTTAATTATTCCATTCTCAGCTATCCCTGGAAAAGCTGATCCCTTTTCCTGCCCTCTGGAATAATCTGGTCCCAATTTGGGCTCTTCCGCTGGAATTTCCTTGCCAAGGAATAAACAGCAGCTTCATTTTAATCTTATTAGCATAAAAACTCAGCGTGACCTTTAGCAAATCACCCTGAAATCTGTTCAAACTTCTCCTTCCAGTTTTTTTCTCTGCTTTTTGGGTTTTGCCACCTTTTATTTGCCTTCCGTTCTGACATTTTGGCTTTTTCTGTGATTTCTGGCAGCTGTTTTATTTTGTTTTTTAAGCGTCTTTAACCACGCCACGTCAGCACTCCCGGGGTGATAACGAGTCCTGCAAAAGCTTTTTAAAAGAGGAGTTCATTAATCCCCGACTCCAATTAACGGTTCTTCCCGAAATCCAGCCAGGCTGCATCCCACTGGGATCAGCACCTGAGGGGAAGGATTTGTTCCCAGTGTTCTGAGGGGGAAACTGAGGCAAGAATTCCATTTTATCAGGTCTTCCCACCCAATTCCTTTGGAATTACAGATCCACAGCACCGGGCTGGCATTCGGGAGGTTTCTCCTTGGATATGGAGAGGGAGATTCCAAGATTCTGCTCCTCCCTAAATCCAGCCATGCCTTCATCCCAAAGCCTTTTGTCCCAGTGTTCTGAGGGGGAAACTGAGGCAAGAATCCCATTTTATCATCTCTTCCCGCTCGATCTGTCCTTGGATACGGAGTGGGAGAGTCCAGGATTCTGCTCTTCCCTAAGTCCAGCCATGCCTGCATCCCAAAGCCTTGGGCCCAATGTTCTGAGGGGGAAACTGAGGCAGGAATCTCATGTGGACGGGATTCTCCCGCGCAGCAGCAAGCAGAGCCCAGCACGCCGAGTTCAGGGGATGCCGTCCTTCCTCTGGCAGCACTGCGAGGGCGGCACTCCCCAGTCGTACATGTAGGAGAGGCGCAGTTTCACCTCCTCCTTGCACAGCTTCCCCTCCCTGGCCAGCGTCTGCTGCTTCTCCAGCATGTCCTCGATGCTCTGCTTGTGGGTCACGATGTACTTGTTGCTGCAGCCGCGCGATTTGTACTCGGTGTCGAAGCGGGGGTCGTGCACCCTCTTGACATCGACGGGCGCCAGCCACACGCCCAGGGACACGTCCTCGCTCTGCCACAGGTTCAGGTAGTCCCTGCTGAGGCTCAGGTAGCGCACCAGGTCGGCGGAGATCACATATCCACCGCCCAGCGCGTAGGGCAGGTAATAATCGCACAGCAGCCAGGCGCTCTCCTTCCACTTTCCCCCGGATTTCACCCGCCCGCGGCCCGAGAAGAAGCCCCAGTAGAGGCGCCGCGGCTCCTTGGCGCTCAGCTCCTCCAGCAGCACGTCCAAGCGCACGAAGGTGTCGTCGTCCGCCTTGAGGGCGAACTGGAAGTCCAGGTGCGCGTCCAGCCACACGTAGGTGGCCAGCACCTTGGCCGTCAGGTTCTCGTAGGAGTCGCGCAGCTCCGGCAGCAGCAGCAGGTCCCGGTGGCGCCGCTGCTCCAGCTGCAGGCTCCGCAGCTCCTCGGCGCCCAGCCCCGCCGTGCCCACCACGAAGCGGCTCCAGACGCGGCCGGGAGGCGCCGCCGCCATCCAGGTGCTGCGGATGATGCTGCGCCGCTCGCTGGACTTGGGGCCGCTCATCACCACCGCGGCCAGCACGGCGCTGCCGCCCTCCGCGCCGCGGGCAGCCCGGCCGGGCGGGGAGGGCGGCGGGCGCAGCCCCTCCGAGGTGCACTTGGCGAGGTAGAGCAGCACGGCGGCGCAGAGGGAGAGCCCGCCCAGCCCCAGCGCGGTGCGGTGCCGGCTCAGCCGCCGCAGCGCCCTCATGGCCGCCGGTCCCTCACGGCCGCCGCGGTGAGGCGGGAACGGCGGTACGGCCGCCGGGAGGGGACAAGCTTCGTGCGGGAGCGCTCACCGGGAGACGCTGCCGCGCTGCGGTGGTTTCATGGCTCTCCCGAGACTTTCGCCTTCTCCTCCGGGACGCGGCGGTTCCGTCCCTGCTGCTCCTGCCGCGGTTCCGGCGGGTCCCGCACCGGGGAAAGGGGAGGGAGGAGGAGCGCAGGCCGCGGCGCTTGACGCGGCGGCTGCCATCTTTGAGTAGGGCACTGAGGCCGAGGAGCGGCCATCCTGGGCTCGGGCACTGCGCCGTGCCCGTGCCTGGGATGGGCTCAAAACCCACCCCGTGCCACTCCCCGCCGTGGGCAGGGGCACCTTCCACCATCCCAGGCTGCTCCAAGCCTCCATGTCCAACCTGGCCTCGGGCACTGCCAGGGCAGCCACAGCTGGGCCAGGGCTTTGCATTAGATGCTATTTGAGTTCCCTTCCAACGCAAACCATTCCATGCTTCAATAAAAACAGCCACGTACACACAAACGGGAAGTAGGAGGGGATCAAGATGTTAACAAGGGAAAAAACGATAGGGTCGCCAGGAAAACGCCCCTTTGCCCCCTCCCTGCCGGAAATGGCGGCTGCCCTCACCGAAGATGGCGGCTGCGCGGCGCAGTGACTAAACTTCCGCCCCCTCCCTCCGCCCTGGCAGCGCCGGGCTCCGTGAGGGGCCGTGCGGGGCTCAGCGGCGGCCGGGCCCGGGCTGAGCCTCCCCGCGGCCGGGCGGCGCTCGGGGCAGCGTCCGCTCCCTGCCCGGCGGCTCCCGGTGAGTGCGGGCGGCTCCTCCCGCAGCCCCGCGGGGACCGTGAAGAGCTCTGAGAGGCTCCGAGGCGCTCTGAGGGGTTCTGGGGGCTGAGAGACTCTGAGGGGTCTTGGGGGCTCCGAGGGGCTCTGAGGGGTTCTGGGGCCCTGAGTGCTCTGAGTGGTTTCGGGGGCTGTGGGAGATTCTGAGGGGTTTTGGGGGCTCTGAGGGCTTTGGGGGCTCTGAGGGGTTTTGGGGCTCTGAGGGGTTTTGGGGCTCTGAGGGCTTTTGGGGGCTCTGAGGGGCTTTTGGGGCTCTGAAAGGTCTGTGGGCTCTGAGGGGTTTGAGGGGTTTTGGGGCTCTGAGGGCTCTGAGGGGTTTTGGGGGCTCTGAGGAGTTTTGGGGCTCTGAGGGGTTTTTGGGGCTCTGAGGGGCTTTTGGGGCTCTGAAAGGTCTGTGGGCTCTGAGGGGTCCTGAGGTTTTGGGGCCTTTGAAGGATTTTGGGGGCTCTGAGAGGTTTTTGGGGTTTTGGTGTTACTGGGGGCACTGAGGGGTTTGGGTTCCTTGGTGCGCTATCTGTTGGATTTGGGATTATTTTTCACCTGGAATGGGGTGGGATACTCGGATTTGATGGCTCTGGGACAGAATCTGGGATTATTTTTCCCTGGAATGGCCCCTGTGGTCACTTCCAGGACAGGATATTTCAATTTTTTGGGACAGCTCCTCCTTGATGCTGTTTTCTGCGTGTTTGCAACTCCCCTTTCTCTTGGATCTGCCCCTATAACTTCCATATATTTATTATTTAACAGGCTTTTAAAATGTCTGCCATCAAAAACTTCTCTATTTTTGTGTAGGGTCCTCTGAATTTATTGTTGTATGTAGATTTTTTACACTTCTATAGATACACTTTAATATATGCACATATGTATGTTTGTATACATATAAATATATATATTTACATATATATACATGTATATAATTGTTATGTACACATATCTCTATAACATATAAATACATGTATATATACACATATATAAATATATAAACATATGTATATAAATATGTATATGTATACAAGTATATATTTAAATGTATATTATTAAGTTATGTACATATATTTATGTGTCTATAAATAAGCACATATAACTGTATGTATATAAGTAAATTATTAATACTTTATATCGATTATTTTAATTTCTATATGTTCATTAATCACCACTTGCTTCCAAGTTTAATTTGTTTTTCCTTTTAGATCATTTAACCCACAGTGACCTTTTCCTTCAAAGTTTAACTTATTTTTCCTCTTCTTTCCCTTTTAGATCATTTAACCCACAGTGACATCTTGCTTCAAATTTTAATTTGTTTTTCCTTTTAGATCCTTTAACCCACTTTAAGGAAAAGCTACCTTTTCCTTCAAAACTTAACTTATTTTTCCTCTCCTTTCCCTTCTAGATCCTTTAACCCACTTTAAGGAAAGGTGAGCTTTCCTTCAAAACTTAATTTATTTTTCCTTTTAGATCCTTTAACCCACTTTAAGGAAAGGTGAGCTTTCCTTCAAAACTTTATTTGTTTTTCCTTTTAGATCCTTTAACCCACTTTAAGGAGAGGTGAGCTTTTCCCTCAAAACTTAATTTGTTTTCCCTTTTAGATCCTTTAACCCACTTTAAGGAAAGGTGAGCTTTCCTTCAAAACTTAATTTGTTTTTCCTTTTAGATCCTTTAACCCACTTTAAGGAGAGGTGAGCTTTTCCCTCAAAACTTAATTTGTTTTCCCTTTTAGATCCTTTAACCCACTTTAAGGAAAAGCTACCTTTTCCTTCAAAACTTAACTTATTTTTTCTCTCCTTTCCCTTCTAGATCCTTTAACCCACTTTAAGGAAAGTTGAGCTTTCCTTCAAAACTTAATTTATTTTTCCTTTTAGATCGTTTAACTCACTTTAAGGAAAAGCGACCTTTTCCTTCAAGACTTAACTTATTTTTCCTCTCCTTTCCCTTCTAGATCCTTTAACTGACTTTAAGGAAAGGTGAGCTTTTCCTTCAAAACTTAATTTATTTTTCCTTTTAGATCCTTCAACTCACTTGAAGGAAAGGTGAGCTTTTCCTTCAAAACTTAATTTATTTTTCCTTTTAGATCCTTCAACTCACTTTAAGGGGAGGTGAGCTTTCCTTCAAAACTTAATTTGTTTTCCCTTCTAGATCCTTTAACCCACTTTAAGGAAAGGTGAGCTTTCCTTCAAAACTTAATTTATTTTTCCTTTTAGATCCTTCAACTCACTTTAAGGGAAGGTGAGCTTTCCTTCAAAACCTAATTTGTTTTTCCTTTTAGATCCTTTAACCCACTTTAAGGAAAAGCGACCTTTTCCTTCAAAACTTAACTTAGTTTTCCTCTCCTTTCCCTTCTAGATCCTTTAACCCACTTTAAGGAAAGGTGAGCTTTCCTTCAAAACTTAATTTGTTTTCCCTTCTAGATCCTTTAACCCACTTTAAGGAAAAGCTACCTTTTCCTTCAAAACTTAACTTATTTTTCCTCTCCTTTTCCTTTTAGATCCTTTAACCCACTTTAAGGAAAGGTGAGCTTTTCCCTCAAAACTTAATTTGTTTTCCCTTCTAGATCCTTTAACGCACTTGAAGGAAAAGCGACCTTTTCCCTCACGACTCAGTTCTTCTCCCCTCTGTCGCTGTTGGCTCCCAGGGACTGGGAGCAGCCATAAAGCCCGGAGCCCCCAGAAGCCCGGGATGCAGCGGGGCCGGGCTGTGCGGCGCAGCCCGGGCTGGCTCTCCCTGGCGCTGCTGCCGCTGCTGCTGCCGGCCGCCTGTGCCCGGCCTGCCAACCTGTCGGCGCTGCGGGGCCGGGAGGAGCTGCTGCCCCCCGAGCACCTGAACGGCGTCCGGCTGGAGCGCGACGGGCACCTCAACCGGGAGCTGCCCCAGGAGCTCTTCCTGGGCCGCGAGCGCGAGCGCTTCGAGGAGGACTCCCAGCCGCGCCGCAACAGGAGGAAGCTGGTGGGCATCTTCGCCAAGTGAGTCGCGGAGGGTTAAAAAAACCAAAAAAACTCCAAAAATCAAAACAACACAAAGAAAACCCCAAAAAAACCCGAAAATATAGACTTTTGGTGGGTTTGAAATTGGAATGAATGTATAAAAATTGGGGATTTCAATGAGGGGAGGACTCCCAGCCCCGCCGCAACAGGAGGAAGCTGGTGGGCATCTTCGCCACGTGAGTCGGGGAGGGTTAAAAAAAAAACCAAAAAAAACCCCCAAAAAACTCCAAAAATCAAAACAAAACAACAAAAAGAAAACCCCAAAAAAAACCCGAAAATATAGACTTTTGGTGGGTTTGAAATTGGAATGAATGTATAAAAATTGGGGATTTCAATGAGAGGAGGAGGACTCCCAGCCCCGCCGCAACAGGAGGAAGCTGGTGGGCATCTTCGCCAAGTGAGTCGGGGAGGGAAGGGTTAAAAAACCCCACAAAAGAATCCCAAAAAAATTTTAAAATCCCCCAAAGAATCCCCCCAAAAAATCCCAAAAAACAAACAAAAAAACCCTACAAAACCCCTAACCCCCCCCCAAAAAAACCCAAAAAACAAAAAAACAACAAAAAAATGAACAAAAAAAACCTCCAAAAAATCCCCCAAAATACCCCAAACCCTCCCCGCCAAAAAAAAACCAAACCCAAAACACCCCAAAAAAAACCCAAAAAATAATCAAAAAAAAAAACAAACAAACCAACCAAAAAACCCAAAAACCAAAAAATAAAAGGGAATTTTGCTGAGATTGAATTGGAAATATTAAGAGTTCAAAATTGAAAATTTGAATTAATATTTTAAAATTGGGAATTGAAATGAGTGTTTAAAAATTGGGGATTTTAATAGTTCCAAATTGAGAATTTCAATGAATGTTTTTAAAAATAGGGATTTTAATGGTTCAAAATTGGGGATTTGAATTAATGTTTAAAATTGGGAATTTTAATTAATACTTAAAAATTGCTAATTTTAGAATTTAAAAATCGGGAATTTGAAGTCATGTTCTTAAAATGGGGACTTTTAATTTTAATTTAAAAATAGGGAGGTTTAGTGTTTCAAAATTAGAAATTTTAGACAATAAAAAGAGAATATTTTCCATTAATGCCTTTTCTTTTTAAGTGAATTAATTTCTTTACTCGGTGGAAAAATATTTCATTTTAACACATTCCAGCATTTTCTTTACTAAAATTCCCTTTTTTTTGGCTTTTTTCATCATTTCAGACACCAGGTGGCAGAGTTGATTTGCATTTAATTTGCATTTTTGAATGAAAACACCTCCAATTAATCCCACGAGGGGGAGAAACTTTCAAAGCTTCATTTGCTGCAAAATGACCCTGAATAAATCGAATTTAATTAAAATAATTCATGAATAAATAACAAAAAAAAATTAATTCAAGTAATTCATGAATAAATAACAAATTTTTAAAAAGCGTCTCCCTGGTGGAAAGTGATATTGAAACCCCCAAAATTTGCATTTTTTGGGGTTTTTTTGTCTCTTTTTTCACATTTAGTTGACATTTTAAGGCCAATCATATCTTGAATAATTTGAGTTTCAATCAAAACAACTCAAAGGCAAACTGGGGCTTTTTAATTCTGGGTTTAATTCGAGTTTTGGGTTTTTTCTCCAAAACTGAGTGGGTTGGAGGTACTTTAAATAGAATTTAAAATAGTAACAAAATCTGATTTTTAGTGATATTTTGAGCTACAAGGTATGTTATGAGGTGCTTTAAACAGAATTTAACAAAAAAAAAAAAATCTGAGTTTTTAGTGATATTTTGAATTACAAGGTGTGGTATGAGGTGCTTTCAATAGAATTTGAAATGGTAACAAAATGAAATTTAAGTAATATTTTGAATATTTATTTAATGCTCAAAAAAAACCCTCAAAGTGGTAGAAAATTGGATTTATTTTTTATTTGGAAGTGTAATTTTTAAATTAATTTCTCAATGAAATAAGGATTCATCTGATTGGGTTTTCCTGATCACTTTAATCAGGAAAAATTGAATTTTGCAGCTCCAAATCCAAGAAATTCCATGGGGGAAACTCATGGAGAACAAATGCAATGTTGAAATGTGTTAAAAAATAAAAATAATTTTTTTTTTTTAAGTGGCTTGGAAAGAGAAATTTGAGAGAAAATTCAAAATCTGGAAGAAAATTTTTCCTATTCTGAACTTGCAGTGACCCAAAATTCCATAATTTGTGAGAAAAATTCCCTCAAAAACATGATTTAATTCTAGGAAAAATAATAATTTCACTGATTAATAAGCTAAATCTTGCTAAATTAAATGAAATTAATTAAATTATATTTATTTAATTCTGAATTAAAGGCTGATCTGTTGCTTGTTTCTCAGAGAGAATCCAAAATACTATTTTTTTTGGTAAATTTCAGCTGAAAAAAACAATTTATTAATTAAAACCCAAGCAAATCTTTCCCTCTTAAACCCCAAATTAAAATTCTATTTATTTAAATTGATTCAAAAATTAATTTTATTTTATTATTTTTAGAGTGGATCGAAATAATGATCAAAAAATCAGCGCCAAGGAGATGCAGCGTTGGATCATGGAGAAAACAGAGGAGCATTTCCAGGAGGCCGTGCAGGAGAACAAAATGCACTTCAGGGCTGTGGATCCTGATGGGGATGGTAAAATCCCCTTTTTTCCCCTGAAAAAAATCACTTTTTAAATCGGTTTTGGGATCTTGAATTTATTTCTGGCATCAAATTTCCATTGGGAATGGCAAATTTGGATTTTTGTGGGAAAGGATGTAAAGAAATGAAAAAAAAATTGGAATAAATTGAATTTTTTCACCAAATTTTATGGTTAAAAAAACACAAAAAATTAAATCAAATGACAGCTTTTATGTTCTCATTCCTAAAATTCAGTGTGGGGTTGTGATGTTGGAGTAAAAATCTTAAAATTTTGCTGATTTTAAAAGAACTAAATCCAAAATTGATTATTTCAAGTTGAAATTTTCTCAATTTCAGGTCACGTTTCATGGGATGAATATAAAATTAAATTCTTGGCCAGCAAAGGCTTCAATGAGAAGGAAATTGCAGAGAAAATCAAAAACAACGAGGAATTAAAAATAGATGAAGAAAGTAAGTGTAAAATGGGATTCTTATTCTTAAAACCTGGGGGTGAAAAGAAAAATGGGAGGGAAATATTTGGGTTGTGCTGCTTGAGGAGGAGTTAAAAGAAACCCAAAAATTCTGTGTTTTTCCATCAAAAATCTGCTGGGAAAATGAGAATTTTTTAGAGGAATTTTCCTGGTTTTCCTCCTTAATTAAAAAAAAAAATATTAATTTTTCCACCTAAGATTTGCTGTGGAAATTGAAATTTTTAAGAGGAATTTTCTTGTTTTCCTCCTTAATAAAACAAAAATTCTATATTTTTTTCACCAAAAATTTGCTGTGAAAATGACATTTTTAAGAGGAATCTTCTTGTTTTTCCCTTAAATAATTTATTCTAAAATCCCCCAAGAATTAAGTCAAAAGACAAAATTCCTTCATTCATCCTGACCAGAATCTGCCATTAAAGTTGCAATTTTTAAGGGGAATCTGCCATGAAAATTGCAATTTTTGAGGGCATTTTCCCCCTTAAAAAAAAACAGAATTTCCTCAAAAATCCCCCAAAAACCGAAGCCAAGATCCAGCAGTCCCACATTGCTCCCGCCACAAAAACTTTGATTTTTACAAGGAATTTTCCTTTTTTTTTCCCCTAAAAACACCATTTACCTTTCCTGTAAACCCCCCCTGCACCTTTCCCTTTCCCTGCAGAGCTGAGTCATTTCCAAATCGCTTGGGTGACATTTTCCAGCGGTGAAAAAACTGAAATAAAAAATAAAACGGCTGAAATGCAACAAAAAAGGAGCTGAGAATTGCAGGGAAATCACCTGGGGTGGTTCCAGGAACTGCTGAGTCAGCGCCGCTGCACCTGAGCCCCAAAATCTGCAGGAAAATCAAATTATTCAGCCTCCACTTCCTCTGGGTTCTTCTTTCTTTTTTTTTCCTCCTCCAAAAGAGATTTTTAAGGGTTTTTATTTTAAATCAAAAGCACCTCGGGGGTGTGGAGTTCAAGGTGCTTTCTGTAGAAATTTGGATTTCGGGTTAAGGGTTTATTTTAATTAAGATTTTATTTTATTTAATTGATGGATGTTGGTGGATAATTGGATTGTGGGATGAAATGGAGGAGTTCCATGGGATTCTGGTGCTGATTTTTCTGTTCCTACGTCACTAAATTTAATTTTTCTTGCAGCAAAAATATGGAATTAAATATAAATAAATAAAATACAAATAGAACTAAATATCTGCAGGGTTTAGGCTTAAAAAAATAATTGATTAAACAACCAAGAGCTTGAAATGAAGGGGTTGTGACAGATTAAACTCTAAAAATGGATTGGGACAAAGTATTAAAAATTGGATTGGGACAACTGAAATCCTAAAAATTGGATTGAGACAATTTAAATGCTAAACATGGGTTGGGAGAACTGAAATTCCTAAAACTCGGTTGTGCCAAATCCTAAAAATGGATTGGGGCTATCCCAAGATTTGGGATGAACTGAAATCCTACAGAGGGATTCTGCCAAATCCCAAAAAAGGGATGGGGGCAATTCCAGAATTTGGGATGAATTGTGCCAAATCCCAGAGAATTTGGGATGAATTGAGCCAAATCCCAAAAAGGGATGGGGGCAGTTCCAGAATTATTTGGGATGAATTGAGCCAAATCCCAAAAAGGGATGGGGGCAGTCCCAGAATTTGGGATGAATTGTGCCAAATCCTACAGACAGATGGGAACAGTTCCAGCCCTTGGGCTGAGCTGCATCCCAAACTGCACTGGTGCAGCTGCAGCCTGTGGGCCGAGCTGCATGCCAAGCTGCACGGGCGCATTTGGGCCGAGCTGCATGCCAAGCTGCACGGGTGCAGCTGCAGGCTGTGGGCCGAGCTGCATGCCAAGCTGCACGGGCGCAGCTGCAGGCTGTGGGCCGAGCTGCATGCCAAGCTGCACGGGCGCAGCTGCAGCCTGTGGGCCGCGCTGCATGCCAGGCTGCACGGGCACATTTGGGCCGAGCTGCATGCCAAGCTGCACGGGCGCAGCTGCAGCCTGTGGGCCAAGCTGCATGCCAAGCTGCACGGGCACATTTGGGTCGCGCTGCATGCCAAGCTGCACGGGTGCAGCTGCAGGCTGTGGGCCGCGCTGCGCGCTGAGCCGCCGGTGCCGTTGCAGCGCAGGAGGTGCTGGACAACCTGAAGGATCGCTGGTACCAGGCGGACAATCCCCCCCCGGACCTGCTGCTGAGCGAGCAGGAGTTCCTGTCCTTCCTGCACCCCGAGCACAGCCGCGGCATGCTGCACTTCATGGTGCAGGAGATCGTCCGGGATCTGGGTAAACTGGGATTTCCTGGGAATTGTGTCCGTGGATTCCTGCTCTTGGTGTGCCTTGTGGGGAGGGAATGGTCAGGTGGAGTTCCATGGATTCCCATTTTATGTGGATATTCACACAGCTGTGGCTGCTGCACTTCATGGTGCAGGAGATCGTCCGGGATCTGGGTAAACTGGGATTTCCTGGGAATTGTGTCCGTGGGCTCCATGGATTCCCCTTGTATCCATGGATTCCCGGGGTTTTTTATGTGGGTGTTGGGAGGGAATGGTCTGCTGGAGTTCCTGTCCTTCCTGCACCCCGAGCAAGCCGCAGCTGCTGCACTTCATGGTGCAGGAGATCATCTGGGATCTGGGTAAGCCGGGAGTTCTGGGAATTGCACCCATGGATTCCCGTTTTTTATGTGAATTTTGGGAGGGAATGGTTAGGTGGAGGAATTGTGTCCATGGATTCTCATTTTTTATGTGGATTTTGGGAGGATTTTGCATGGAATAGTCTGGTGGAGTTCCATGGATTCGAATTTATGTGGATATTTGCACAGCCACGGCTGGGACCTGGGTAATCCAGGATTTCCTGGGAATTGCATCCATGGATTCCCATTTTTCTGTGGGTATTGGGAGGGGTTTGGTTTTTTGCACAGCTCAGTAGGAAATTCCCATTTCTACATGAATTAGGTGAATATATTTGAATTTTTTGCACAGATCAGGAGGAAATTCCCATTTTTACAGGAATTAAATAAATCTATTATAAATTTTTGCACAGACGAGTAGGAAATTCCTATTTTGATGGGAGTTAAGCAAACCCATTTTAATTTCTTGTACTTTTTTATGGGAATTAAGGAAATATAATGAAGGGAATTAAGTGAATTTTTGGCACCAGTTGGGAGGAAATCGCTGTTTTTCCGAGCTCACTGATTTGAATTTCCGTGTTCCCGGGACCGCGGTGCCCAGACCAGGACGGGGATAAGAGGCTGACCCTGCCCGAGTTCATCTCGCTGCCCGTGGGCACGGTGGAGAACCAGCAGGCGCAGGACGTCGACGACGACTGGGTGAGGGACAGGAGGAAGGAGTTCCAGGAGGTCATCGATGCCAACCGCGACGGCATCGTCACCATGGAGGAGCTGGAGGTCGGTGCGCGCCTTGGCTTTGCACATGTCAATAATTCACTCACAGCTCCGTTTTCTATTCCATAATGGAGTATTTAAACTTAATTTTCATTTCACGTTAATTTCATTTAAAATCCGCCTTTAAAAGCGGCATTAAGTCGCTTGCAGTTCAATTTTTTAATGAAAATATGGAATATTTTTAATTTCATTTTGGATATATTTCATTTAATATTTGATATCATATATATATGTTTTATACATATTATATATTATTTGCATAAATAAAAGTACATAATATATAATATATATTTAAATAAGTATTGTATATTATGTATATGTATATATGTTATATATATGTATGCATATTATATACATATTATATATTATTTGCATAAATAAAAGTACATAATATATAATATATATTTAAATAAGTATTGTATATTATGTATATGTATATATGTTATATATATGTATGCATATTATATACATATATTATTTAAATATATGTGATATATATGATATATACTATGTATTATATGTTATCTATATTATATATTTAAATATATATTATATATTGTATATATTATTTAAATACATATAATATACATGTTATACATTATATATCATATATATTATTTATAATATATCTTATATTTTATATGTTTGATATACTTCATTTAAGATTTGATTTAATATTTGGAATATTTAATTTTATTTTAATTTCACATTAGTTTTATTTAAAATACAGCTTTGAAAGCCTCAGAAGTTGAGTTACAGCTCAATTTTTTATAAGTATTTGATTTAAAAACGGAGGATTTTGATTTCTTTTCAATTTCACATTGGTCTCATTCCAAATGCACTGTTAAACCCCTCAGAAGCGCCGTGACAGCTGAATTTGTGGTGAAATCCCCGTGTTTTCGCAGGAGTACATGGACCCGATGAACGAGCACAACGCGCTGAACGAGGCGCGGCAGATGATCGCCGTGGCCGACGAGAACCAGGACCACCAGCTGGAGCTGGAGGAGGTCCTCAAGTACAGCGAGTACTTCACGGGCAGCAAGCTCATGGACTACGCGCGCAACGTCCACGAGGAGTTCTGACCTTCCTCCCCTTCCGGAACTCTCTATCCGCTCCGCCCGCCGCCCAAACCCGAAAATCCCGGGGCGGCGGCGGGAGTCGCTCCTGGCGCTGTGCTCCGCGGCTCCTCGCGGGGAGCTCCCTGCTGGAAAAACGCTGGGAATTCCTGCATTCGGGTAATTTCCCTGTTCGGTTTGGGGTTGAAGGCAGCTGGAATTCTGGGTGGGGGAGGATTCTGGAATATTCCCTGGTTTCCTTCGGCTGCTCATCCAGGGGATCCCAAATAAAACTTGGTTTTGGGTGGAGGAATGTTTGTCCTCCACGCCCAATTCCATTTGAGAATTTCCTTAAATTTAGAGAAATTCCTTAAATTATATTCCCTTGTTGCCCCCACAGATGCTGATGCAGGGAATCCCAAATAAAACTTGGATTTGGGGAATTTTGGTGGTTCCAAGGAATGTTTGTCCTCCACACCCAATTCCATTTGAGAAATTCCTGACATTTATTCCCTTGTTGCCCTCACAGCTGCTCATACAGGGGGTGCCTATTAAAACTTGGATTTTGGGAATTTTGGTGGTTCCAAGGAATGTTTGCCCTCCTGGGAATATCCACACTCAATTGCAGTGTTTTTCTCAACTACCTGAAGAGTTGTTGGGAACTAAATGGAATTTTTTCAGGGAGCTGTAGGGAAGAATTTATTTGAAACGTTACAGAAAAACTTTCTGGAATTAAATAAATAAAATAACATTATTTAAAATTAAATTATTATAAAATTACTTTTTTTGTTGTTAACATCCGCACTGGCAATGGGAGATTCTGGATTTATAAAATCAGATTTTGGCCAAAAATCAAACAATTGGGAAGTTTTTTTGGTAATTTAAGCCGTTGGACAGAGCAGTGGGAATTCCCATGGAGTTTTATGGCTGCTTAATTAAAATTCATTGCTAAAATTAATGAGCTCTGTGCTATTTAATGCTGTTAATGAGCTGCTGATGATGATATGGGGGAAATTCCAGGCTTTAGGTGAGCTCTAAAAAAGCAACTCTGTCCCAAATAAAATTGATTTTTTCCTCTGCTTCCAACTTTCCTGGGAAAAACCCCTCTTTGGGAAAGAATTCCTGAAACGAATGAGATGTTTTATTTGATTAAATTTATTCTTAATATAATGTAAATACAGGAATTGCTATCCCTCTTTCTCTTTTCCTGCTTTATTTGATGTTTTTATTAAATTCCTTGGATAAAATGTTTTATATACTTTTTTTGTTTGTTTTGTTTTCCATTTAATATTTCTCTCCATGCTTTGGAAATTCTGCTGCTTTTAAAGTTTGGCGGGGGGCAGGGGGGGTGGGGGGAAATAAGAGGAATAAATTCCATGGATAATCTCCAATAAAATGAATTTAAACACAAAAATTCCAGTAAAATCAGCTGATAATTGTAATTTATCTATTAAGAGATTTTTAGGACACCATCCTAATTTGATTTTGGGATAACATGAGCCTGGAATCTCTAATTTCTCAGTATTTTCTAGAGTCGGTGAAAGTAAAGCTGGATTCCAAGCAGCTGGAAAATTGGGATCCTGGATCCAATTCTAATAGGCTGGAAAATGAAATTCCCGTAATTCCCACTGTTTTGTGGATTCAGTGATGGCAGGGAGCTCTCCTAGAAGTGAATGAGTTCCTGGAAAACGGAATTCCCGAATTCCGGCTCAGCCAGGGCGCCTCCCCAGCGCTCCTCCATCGCTGCTTTTCCAGCCATTCCCATCGGGATTCCCCTCCTCTGAGGGCTCCTTTTACCCCTTTAACCTTTTTCAAACTCAGCATTTCCTTTTCCTGCCCAAAAACCCCAAACCGGGAGCGGGAAGGGGCGTGGAGAAAAGTGGGAATTTCCCTCAAGTGTCCCCGCCCGGAGCCGTTCCTGCGCTCGGGGCTCTCACAGCGCCCTGAGGGAGCGGAGCCGTGAGGGGAACGGGGCCGTGAGGGGAGGGAAAGGTCCTGAGGGAGCGGAGCCGTGAGGGGAACGGGGCAGTGAGGGGAGCGGAGCCGTGAGGGGAGGGAAAGGTCCTGAGGGAACGGAGCCGTGAGGGGAACGGGGCAGTGAGGGGAGGGAAAGGTCCTGAGGGAGCGGAGCCGTGAGGGGAACGGAGCTGTGAGGGGAGGGAAAGGTCCTGAGGGAACGGAGCCGTGAGGGGAGCGGAGCCGTGAGGGGAACGGGGCAGTGAGGGGATGGAAAGGTCCTGAGGGAGCGGAGCCGTGAGGGGAACGGGGCAGTGAGGGGAAAGGGGAAGGCGCTTTGAGGGGTCGGTGCCGTGAGGGGAACGGAGCAGTGAGGAGAAGGAAAGGTGTCCTGAGGGGAACGGAGCTGTGAGGGGAGCGGAGCCGTGAGGGGAGCGGAGCCGTGAGGGGAAGGAAAGGTCCTGAGGGAACGGAGCCGTGAGGGGAAAGGGGAAGGCGTTTTGAGGGGAACGGAGCCGTGAGGGGAAGGAAAGGTCCTGAGGGGAACGGAGCCGTGAGGGGAACGGAGCTGTGAGGGGAAAGGGGAAGGCGTTTTGAGGGGAACGGAGCCGTGAGGGGAAGGAAAGGTCCTGAGGGGAACGGAGCCGTGAGGGGAACGGAGCCGTGAGGGGAGCGGAGCCGTGAGGGGAAGGAAAGGTCCTGAGGGAACGGAGCCGTGAGGGGAACGGAGCTGTGAGGGGAAAGGGGAAGGCGCTTTGAGGGGTCGGTGCCGTGAGGGGAGGGACAGGTGTCCTGAGGGGAGCAGAGCCGTGAAAGGGACGGTGCTGTGAGGGGAAAGGCTCCGTGAGAAGAAAAGCTCGGTGAAGGTTCGTCTCCGTGCCGTGCGAGAAACGGCGCCCTGAGGGAAGGGCGGCGATGGCGCCCGCAAGGATGGCCTGGAGCCTGCCCGCGTTCTGCTGGCTGCTGGCCGTGCCCGCTCCCGCCTGGCTGGGCTCGGCGTGCCCGGAGCGCCAGTACCGCTTCCACGAGCGCTGCTGCAGCGACTGCGCCCCCGGTGAGAGCCGCGCTTCGCGACCGCGTCTCGCCAGCGGGCACGTTTCTTACCCAAATACCCGGCTCTAATGCAATACTCATCTTTTCCGTAGTGGAATATAGATTTTAGTGCAATACCTATTTCTTAATGTAATACCTACGTTTTTAGACTGATAACAAGTTTAAAAAAAAAAAAACCGGGAAAATCTTCCTTTCTGAGAGTGATTTGTGACTTCGTTTTAATGTTTTTTTCTTCCTAAATGCCTCAGTTAGGGGAATTTCCTACACTCTGGAAGGGATGTTTGGGATCCACTAGGACAAACATTTTGGGCATTTTCTCCAACTTCAGCCCTCTCCAGCCCTTTTCAGCCACTCCATTAAATGTTGATTTTTTTTCCCCGACCAAACTTCCAGGGATTTTTCTCCTAACCAGGAACTGCCAAATTCTGGGCACTGTTTGATCCCAAAGGGTGAAATTTAGGATTTTTACCCTCACCATCCCAACCAATCCTGATTAATTCCCAAAGCATAAAATTAGGATTTTTCCTGTCACGATCCCAGCCAATCCTGCTTTATTCCCAAAGGATAAAATTAGGATTTTTCCCCTCACCATCCCCGCCAGTCCTGATTTATTCCCAAAGGATAAAATTAGGATTTTTCCCCTCAGGACCCCACTGAATCCTGATTTTGGGGTGTTTTTTAGGGGAGAGGATGTGGAATCAGCTGACCCCGTGTGCTCCCCAGGCCAGTGACACACCGTTTGTTCCCAAAGGATGAAATTTAGGATTTTTCCCCTCAGGACCCCGCTGAATCCCGATTTTTGGGTGTTTTTAGGGGAGAGGATGCGGAGCCGCTGCACGGCCACGGCTGACACCATCTGCTCGCCCTGCCAGGACGGATATTTCAGCTCCCAGCACCACCACGGCCTCTGCAACAGCTGCACCGTCTGCAACGCCTGTGAGTGCTGGGATGGGGGAAAAGATCCCTTTTTTGGGGAAAAAATCCAATTTTTGATGGGGAAAAAAATCCCCTTTTTCTGGGGAAAAAATCCAATTTTTGATGGAAAAAAAATCCAATTTTTGAGGGAAAAAATCCCCCTTTTTTTTGAAAAAATCCCATTTCTGAGGGAAAAATCACATTTGGGGGAAAAAAAAAGACTTTTTGGGGAAAAAAATCCATTTTTGAAGGAAAAAATCCCCCTTTTTTTTTGAAAAAATCTCATTTCTGAGGGAAAATTCCCATTTTGTAGGGAAAAAATGCTTGGTTTGGGGTATTTTGGGGGAAAAATCCCTTTTTGGTTGGGAAAATCACTTTTGGAGGAAAAGATCCCTTTTTTGGGAGAAAAATCCAATTTTTGAGGGGAAAAAATCCCATTTTGGGGGGAAAAATGCCTTTTTGGACAGGAAAATCACTTTTGTGGGGAAATACCTTTTGGGGGCATTTTTGAGGGAAAAATCCTATTTTGGGCGAAAAATCCCTTTTATGAGCAAAAAATCCTAATTTGGGGGGAAAAATCCCTTTTTTTGAGCAAAAAATCCTAATTTGGGGGGGAGATCCCTTTCTTGGGGCATTTTTTGGGGGAAAAAATCCCCTTTTTGGGTTATTTTGGTGGAGAAAAAATCCATTTTGGGGTAAAAAATCCCTCTTTTGGCCTGCTCCAGAGGGCCTGCCTGCAAACCACTGTCCTCAACTAAGTCATTAAATTAATTACTAATTATGAATAGTTAAATTGCTGAATGGTGCAGGTCCTGCACACAGACAGGCAGTGCCCTGAGGTGTTAATTGGTGCTGTTAATGAGGGAATTAATGAGGGAATTAATGAATGAATCTCGGCCTGGCCAGGGAAGGGCAGCGTGGAGGTGAAGCCCTGCGAGAAAACCTCGGATAGGATCTGCGCCTGCCGGGCGGGATTCCAGCCGGCCCGGGGCACTCCCGGAATTCCCCTGGGAAAGGGTGAGCAGGGATCGGGAATTCCCCTGGGAATGGGTGAGCGGGGATCGGGAATTCCAGTGGGAAAGGGTGAGCGGGGATCGGGAATTCCAAAGGGAAAGGGTGAGCGGGGATCGGGAATTCCCATGGGAGAAGTTGGGATTTGGAATTCCCTTGGGAAGGGTTGGGTCTGGAATTCCCGTGGGGGAGAGTTGGGATCTGAAATTCCCTTGGGAAGCAGTGAGTCTGGGATGTGCCAACTGGAATTCCCTTTGGAATTCTGGGATGTGCCAGCCTTCCCAAAATCCTGCCTCCCACGTGGCAGGAATTCCTGGCTGGAACTGTGGAATCCTCCCAGATAACATCCAGAATCTTGGATAATCCAGAATTCCCAGTGGATATATCTGGGAATTCTGTCACTTCCTTGGATAATTTCCATAACTGATAATTCCCAGAATTTCCATAATTGATAATCCCTGATAATTCCCAGTGGATAAATCTGGGAATTCTGCTGGAAAATCCCTTTTCTTCCCCCCAGAGTGTTCCCGATGTCCTGCAGGGACTTTCTCCAGGGGAAAGAACGAGAACTGCCAACCTTGGACCAAGTAGGAATTCCTTTTTGGGGGAAAAAACTCATTTTTTGGGAAAAATCTCTTCTGGGTGAGGAAAAAAATCGGGTTTTTGGGGAAAAAAATCCCCTCTGGGGGAGGAAAAAAAATCGGTTTTTGTAGGGATAAAATCCTACATTTGCAGGGATAAAATCCTACATTTGTAGGGATAAAATCCCAAGGGGATAAAGCACAGATTGGGATTGCAGGGATGGGATTTAGAAACACATTCCATGTTGGAAAAACCTCTGGAATTTCTTTTCCAGCTGCAGCACTTTGGGGAAGAGCACGCTCCGGGCTGGCACGGGCGAAGAGGATGCCCAGTGCGGCACGGAATTCCCGGAAAACAGGAGGCCCTTTCCCACGGAATTCCCAGAAAACAGGGCTTCCTCTGCCACGGAATTCCCAGAAAACAGGGCTTCCTCTGCCACGGAATTCCCAGGAAAAAGGGCTTCCTCTGCCACGGAATTCCCAGAAAACAGGGATCCCTTTCCCACGGAATTCCCAGAAAACGGCTCTAGAGCTTCCAGCCCTAGGGAGATCCCCGTGGTCTGTCGGGATCCCGGCGTTCCCACGGAGCCGGGATGGGGTAAGGACGGGCAGGGAACCAGCTGGGATGGGAATTCCCGTTTTGTCTGAATCCTTTTCTGGATTTCACACAACATTCCAGGATCCCACATTCCTGGGAATTCCCATTTTCTCAGAAATCCTTTCTGTATTTCCCACATTCCAGGATCCCACATCTCCCTGGCATTCCCAGAGTTCTTGATTCTCCCTCTGGAATCTGGGAGCTCCATGCAGCACCAGGAATCTTTGTTTTTTAGGGAATTTTTCCCTTCCCATTCCAGGCTCTTTATCCCTGCTCCTGCTGTGCCTGCTCCTGCTGCTGGTGAGTGGAATTTCCATCCTGCTCCTGATCGTCCAGGCAGTACGGAAAAAATCCCGGAATGGGCCTGCCAGGAGCGGCCAGCACAGTGAGTGCCTTTTTCTGGGATCAAAATCCTGGAAAAAACAATCCAGAGATTCCCTTTTTCTGGGATCAAAATCTTGGAAAATTTAATCCAGTGAGTTCCCCTTTTTCTGGGATAAAAATCCTGGAAAATTTGATCCAGTGAGTTCCTTTTTCTGGGATCAAAATCCTGGAAAAGTAAATCCAGAGATTCCCTTTTTCTGGGATCAAAATCTTGGAAAAAAATTAATCCAATGGCAAAACTGAGCTCTAAAATCAGGATCAAGTGGGAAGACAGAGTTTAAAGCCAGGTTTAAGTGACCGAACTGAGCCTGAAATTGGGATTAAGTGGCAAAAGGAGCCCGCGGCGAGGCCGAAGGTCGGGGGAGCCCCGTTCCCTGATTGTTCCCTGATCCCGAACAATTCCCTGTTTTCCAGAGGGGAGCAGCTGCCGGATCCCCATCCAGGAAGAGCAGATCGACTCCAACTCCAGCCTCATCAAAAACTGACTCGGCTTTTGGTTCTCCTGCATCCCATCCTGGGACTAATCAGGGATTAGTTAGGAGCTAATTGGAGGCTGCTTTTACTCCTTCATTAACTCAACAGCTCCTTTTGGAATTCGGGAGAATTCCTGAGGGAATTTTGTGGGGGTTTTTTTCCCTTTGGGAAAATCTTTGAGCTCTAAAACCAGGATTAAGTGGCAAAACTGAGCTCTAAAATTGGGATTAAGTGACAGATCTGAGCTCTAAAATCAGGATTAACTCAATCCACACTTCCTGAAATGAATTTTCCCTCTCTAATTGCTTTTCCACAAATTTGGCAAGGGAATTTTTCGGGAGGAAATCCCAAACTCTGGAATGTCTGGGGGGAGCCCGAAGCCTCCTTTGGCTGAATTTGGAACATACCCTTGAAAATTCCACAAAAATGGATTTTATGAAGTATTCGGGAATGATTTTCCTGCCAAATATCAACAGAAAACTCCACAAAAACGTGAATTTGGAGCCCACGGCAGTGAGAATATGCCCAAAAATCCATCAGGGAATGGGTGCAGGGATCCAAGAGGTGTTTAAATCCACGGATTTGGAAGATTTGGGAATTTTGATATGTTATACATATCCAGAGGGGTTTATACGGTGTATAGGAATGTTTGTATCGTGTACAAAGTGGGATTTGGGGAATAAAACTCTGGAAAAAAACAATCCTGGTCTGTGTGCGGCGGGAAAAACGGGAAAATTCCGGCAGGAAGCTGGGATGGCCTCGGGAGGGAGGAGGGAAAGGTTGGGATGGGTTTGGGAGACGTTGGGATGGGTTTATTTGTATTTCTGAGGGAAGAAATCCCATTTTCCCTGGATAACAATTCTATTCCTGAGGGGGGAAATTCCCATTTTTTTCCCTGGATAATAATCACATTCCTGAGGGGAAATATCCCATTTTTCCTTGGATAACAATTGCATTTCTGAGGGAAAAAGTCCTTGGATAAGAATTCTATTTCTGAGGGGGAAAATCCCATTTTTCCTTGGATAACAATCACATTTCTGAGGGAAAAAATCCTTCCCTGGATAAAAACTGTATTTCTGAGTGAAAAAATCCCATTTTTCCTTGGATAAGAGTTCTATTCCTGAGGGGGAAATTCCCATTTTTTCCATGGAAATCTCCCTCAGGAATTCTCCAGCCCTTCCCCCTTTCCCTCCACTGCTCCTCCCACCCCAACCTTTCCAACCTCCTCTGTGCCATGAGCAACATCCTGTTTAGGCCGGGCCTGAAGGTTTTAAGCCCAGCCTAAAGGACATTTCTTTCCCGCAGGACCCCTGGGGACTTCCCTCAGAAATCCTGGAGCATCCCGGGATTTCCCCTCTGGGAACGGAAATTCCACCTGGGAGGCGAAAATCATCTCGAAGCCGGGCCTAGCCACGTTTAAGCTGGGTTTAAGCCGGGCCTAACCGCTCTGAAGTCCTCCTGTGAGTGAGTTTTTTGTGCCAGGGGTTCCTTTTCTCCCCTAATCAGCAAAAAATCAGCAAAAAATCAGCCAAAATTCAGCGTCAGGAAACCGAAACCGCGGCTGGCGCAGCCCCGCGCTGCTGACGTGAGGCCCCGGCGTGGGTTCCCTTTTTTGGGGTGATTTCCTTTTTATTTAGGGTGATTTCATTTTTTTAGGATGTTTTCCTTTTTTTGGGGTTCTTTTCATTTTTTTGGGGGGTGTGATTTTTTGGGATGGCTTTCTCTTTTTTATTTTTTGGGTGCTTTCCTTTTTTTGGCAGTATTTTCCTTTTCTTGGGGTGTTTTCTTTTTTTGGGGTGGCTTTCATTTTTTGGGGATTTTTTTTTGGGGGGTGGTGTGTTCTTTTTTTGAATTTGGGTGAGGATTTCACTCCAGATTTCTGGGAATGTCAGAATTTTTGGGATTTCCCCCAAATTTGAAGCCCAAAGAGGGAAATCTTCCCATGGAGTGAATTTTTTGGGAAGGATGCAGAGATTTTGATGGATTTGGTGTGAGGATTTCACTCCAGATTTCTGGGGAATGTCAGATTTTATGGGGGAATTCCCCCAAATTTGGAGCCTGAAGAGCAGAACCTTTCCATGGAGTGAATTTTTGGGAAGGATGCAGAGATTTTGATGGATTTAGGGTGAGGTTTCACTCCAGATTTTGGGGAATGTCCGATTTTTTGGGGATTCCCTGAAATGTGGAGCCCAAGAGCATCCTTCTCCGTGGGAAGGATTTTAGCGGGGCGGGCAGCAAGCGGGGCCGGCAGGCGGGGAAGTGTCGGCGGAGCTGCCGAGAAGAGCCGGCGAGGCGATGGAGCCGGAGATAACGCCGATCGATCCGATAAAACCGGCCCGCAGCGCCAAAGGTCAGCCTGACTCCGGCTCCGGGAGCGCTGGGCGGAAAATTCCGTCACCTGCCGGGGCCCCAAAGGGCGAGAGCGGCAAAAAATCCCCAAAGGGCGGAAAAACGAAAGAAAGAAAGCGGGGGCAGGGCATGGGGAAAGGTTAGGATGGGTTTAGGAAAGGCTGGGATGGGTTTGGGAAAGGCTGGGATGGATTTAGGAAAGGCTGGGATGGGTTTAGGAAAGGCTGGGATGGATTTAGGAAAGGCTGGGATGGATTTAGTGAGGGTTAGGATGGGTTTAGGAAAGGCTGGGATGGGTTTGGGAGAGGCTGGGATGGGTTTAGGGAAGGTTAGGATGGGTTTAGGAAAGGCTGGGATGGGTTTGGGAGAGGCTGGGATGGATTTAGGGAAGGTTAGGATGGGCTTAGGGAAGGCTGGGATTGGTTTAGGAGAGGCTGGGATGGATTTAGGGAGGGTTAGGATGGGTATAGGGAAGGTTGGGATGGGTTTAGGGAAGGCTGGGATGGGTTTAGGAAAGGTTCTTGCCAGAGGGAAGTTGGGATGGATTTTAGGGAGGGATGGATGGATCCATGGATGGAATTCCCAGGGAACTTCAGCTGGGATGGAATTCCCAGGGAATTTGTGGCTGGGATGGAATTCCCAGGAGGTGCCCGGGCCCAGCAGGAATCTCTGCCTGGAGCCAATTTTCCACCTCCCTCCCAGCACTCCCCAAATTTCCCCCCTTGAACTCCCCCCACCCCAAACCCCATTTTTGGGGTCCCCCCCCACACCCCAAACCCATTTTTGGGGTCTCCCCCACCCCAAACCCATTTTTGGGGTCCCCTGCCCTGCCCCCCGCTGCCCTTTGAGCCCGGCTCCTCCCAGCTCAGCACAGGAAGAGCTCGGCCACAAAAACCCCCGCGGCTCCTCTGGGGCCTCAGCGGGGACGGGACGGGGACGGGGACGGGGTGGCAGTGCCAGGGGGGTGGCAGTGCCAGGGGGGTGGCAGTGCCAGAGGGGTGGCAGTGCCAGGGGGGTGGCAGTGCCAGGACAGAGTTGTCACAGCCAGCTGAGGTGGCAGTGCCAGGGGGGTGGCACTGTAAGGACAAGGTGGCACTGTAAGGACAAGGTGGCACTGCCAGCAGGGTGGCAGTGCCAGCTGAGGTGACCGCCAGCTGAGGCGGCCCTGCCCGGCCATGCCCCGGCCGTGGCTGCTGGCGCTGCTGGCGCTGCTGGCCGGGCGCTGGGCGCCGCCGGGCGCCGCCGGGCGCTGCCAGGACGGGGAGCTCCGGCCCGCGTGGGGAGGTGGCACCAAGTGCTGCCCCAGGTGCACCTGGAAGGGACGTGAGTGCGGGAACGGGGCAGCGGGGGTGACGTGGGGTAAAGTGTGAGTAATTGTGTGTGCTGTGGGCAAAGTGTGGGTAAGTGGGGGCAAATTGTATGGGATGTGGGTAAATAGTGTGTAAAGTGTGGGTAATTGTGTGTGGTGTGGGTGAATGGGGGTAAATTGTATGGGATGTGGGTAAATTGTGTGTAAAGTGTGGGTAATTGTGTGTGGTGTGGGTAAATGGGGGTAAATGGGGGCAAATTGTATGGGATGTGGGTAATTTGTGTGTAAAGTGTGGGTAATTGTGTGTGGTGTGGGCAAGTGGGGGTAAATTGTATGGGATGTGGGTAAATAGTGTGTAAAGTGTGGGTAATTGTGTGTGGTGTGGGTAAATGGGGGCAAATTGTGTGTAAA